ATCTATCTATCTATCTATCTATCTATCTATCTATCTATCTATCTATCCATCCATCATCTATCTATTTATTTTTGCTAGAATGTATGTTGCACAAAGTTTTTAGACAGTGTTATGGGACAAATCATCTTCCTCAATAAACTATGTTGACATTCTGCCTCAGATACCTGTGAATGTGACCATATTGGAAGATGAAGTACTGTGTGTGTCAGCAAGCAAAGGTGAGTCATCAGGTTTAAGTTTTAAGCCAACATGCTAAGCGTCCCTAAGAGAGAATAGATGCTGACTTGATGGAGGAGGGTTATCTGTCTATTGTATTATTTTCATTGGTCAATAAAGAGACTGCCTTGGCCCTTTGATAGGACAGAAAATTAGGTAGGCGGAGTAAACAGACTAGAATGCTGGGAAGAGGGCAATGAGGCAGATGCCATGAAGCCAGCCACCAGGTCAGACATGCTGAATCTTTTCCGGTAAGCCACCACCTCGTGGTGCTACACAGATTATTAGAAATGGGTTAATCAAGATGTGAGAGTTAGCCAGTAACTAACTCTCTAGAGATAATGGGCCAGGCAGTGTTTAAATGAATATAATTTGCGTGTTGTTATTTCTGGGGCTAAGCTAACTGTGCGGGAACCGGGTGGGATGAAAAGCAGGTCTGCCCGCAGCCCTTCATGTAACACTGACTGGCTAGGGAAAGTGCACTAGATGGAGCAAATGTTGGACTCATGCTGCCCAAAGGCAGGATGTGTGGGTTGCCAGAGTTAATCAGAATTCATGAGTAGCAGGCCAAACAGATTCTCTGGGAGGGGGGCACTCTGTTGACCCCTTTTGGACCCCAGTTTCCCAGAAAAGTGAGAGAATAAGTGTCTGGCTCTGTTTTTCTTTGGAGTTCTAGTATGCTAAGGCAGGACGTATGCTAATCACTCTACCACTGAGCTGCAGCCCAGCTCCAAACCTCTTGAAGTTTGGTTTATTTGCAGTCAGAGCTCAGGTAAGGGCATAAGGAACATTAATACACTCTTGGTAGGTGGGAAATGTGTTCATTTATTTTTGATGACATAATGTCAAAAAAACCTCATTTGTTTGTATGTGGGAGTATGCATGTGCCATGACAAGTGTATAGTCAGAGGAGAGCTTGTGGGGCTGTTTCTCTACGTTCATCATGTGGACCTGAGAAATGAACTCAGGTTGTTAGTCTTCGCTGTATGTACCTTTACCCGTGAGCCATCTCGTCACACTCTATATGCTTTTTGTATTAACTTCACTGAAAATTTCAACGGAACAAAGCACATTTCAATGACATCAGATTGATAGCTATAATGAAATAATTCTTATTTTAAATATTATGATATGTAGGAAAACAAGTATTTTAACCTTTGAGGTAGAATACTTTTTGCTTGCTATAGAAACTTAGGTTAAAACTGCTCCTATATCAGTTTCAAGAGCTTTGGTTTTGTTTTAAATTACTTTTGTTTTTAGAGATTACAGCATACCTACATATTTCCCACTTTCCTTTTCTCTCTGAACTCTTCTCCTCTCCTTTAGATTAATGGCCTATTTTTCTTTAATTGTTATTTTGCATATGTGTGTATGCATATTTGTACACACACTCATAAACCTGAATACAACCTGAGTAATTAACACAATGTTTACAATGTTACCTATATGTATATGATCTCAGAGATGAACTCTTGGTACTGGGTAGCTATTTGGTGCATCTTCCCTGGGGAAGACCAATTCTCCTTCTTTCCACATTCCCTAGTTACTTATGCCCTGCCCCCCTCCACAGGGCTGAAGCTCCATGAACTTTCCCCCTTCCATGTCAGCATGACCATTGCCATTATCGTTGTTAAAATCTTGTTTAGGCAGCCATGCTAAACAAGACTAAACACAACTAAGCTGTGACTAAATGAGTGTACAGCCTCTCTGGCATTTCCAGGACCCACAACCTCACAGGAAACTTGGGTCTGGAGCTATGGTGTAGATGTATTCACTGAAATGAGCATCACAGTCTCTTCTCTGAATTTTAAATGGCTGTGGTTTTTTGTAATGGCCTCTATCTTCTACAAAGAGAAATTTCCTTGATAAGGGGAGAGGAGTACACTCATCTGTGGGTATAAGGGTAAATATTTAGAATGTAGTAAGTGATTATACTGGTTTAGTAGCCTGATAGTTATAGGTTTTCTGTCAAGATCCATGACTTCACTAGGCCTGGGTAGTTACCTCTGTTTCCAGTTCCAGGAATGATTTCCCCTTTGTTGAGTGGTCTCTGATGCATGATTAATAAAAACTCAGAGACAGATATTGGGGTTCAACCTGAAAAACTGAAAAGCAAAACAGCCAATCACTGGATTTTATATTAACCTTAGTCCGAAAATAGTGATCCTGCTTCCAGGAAACCTCAGAATAAGACTGAGCCTGAGAACTGTCTCCTCCCATTTTATAATCCTCTCTAATTCTCGGATTAAGGACATGCACCAATACCTTCTGGTTTCTCTGGCAAACTAGTGTAGTTACTAGGATTAAAGGTATGTATCATTGCTGCTTGATCTTTAAGGCTGGTCAGTGTGACTGTTTTATTTTTCTGATCCTCAGGCAAGCTTTATTTATTAAAATACAAATGAAATGTCACTGTATTCCCCCTTTTTGTCTTAAACAAAAAGGAAGGCTATAACTAATATAATAAAAACTATATACAATAAGTACAATAACTATATACAATATATACAGGCAATAAATACAACAACAATGTATAGTCCATTTGTATTTGACAAATTCAGAGAAAATACTCCATATCTATCCTAATTTAGTGAGTCCAAAGTCCTGCACCTAATTTACTTCCTAACATAATTTGATTTCTGTGTCAGATAAACAAGGAAAACTATAACTATCTAGTCTTCAACTCCCTCAGAGACCCAAGAAGAAAATAATATTAACTGAGTAAACAGGAATGTAAACAAGTGACTTCAAAAAATGTGAGTAATGACAGAAACAGCTGGTTACTTAGACAGTTATCCAAAGTTCCTCTGCAATGTCAGGCATCTATCTTCAGCCTATAGGCTTAGCATATTTGACAGACTTTTCTGTGAAGCAGGATAATCTGAAGGGCTGTCCCTCCTTGTCTTGACAATGTTTGGCAGTCACTTTATGTTGTGTCTTGCTTGCCCAATTAGGACAGCATACTGGCAACAGTCAAGGCAGGGACATTTTCTTGCCCAGTGGCTTTATTTTGCCACTAAGAAAGTCAACTCCTTGTGGAGTTTCTTTGGTGCCCATTTTCTTCTCTGAAGTAGACTGATGCTGCCAGCAGTAGACATATCTCATTTTCATAAAAAAAGAAGAACCTACATTATTAAAACATCTTAAATGCCATATTCTGTAGTTCTCTGAAGTATTTGAAGATGACCTGTCTATCTAAAATATATCTTTGTTTGACCCTGAAAGCATTCCTAATGTGGCTACAAGTTCGATTATACTAGGTGATTAACAACTAACCTACATTTCCTTATTATCCTAAACAGTTAGTAATAATAATTTTCAAGGACTAGAAATTTGCCTTACATTGTTAAATGATCTGCAAAGGTACAATACTTTAAAAAAGATTAGAAATGTATATACAGTATGTTTTAACAAAATTGATCTCAAATTTGTATCAATATACAAAATTTGTATATAATATACAAAAGTCCAATCCAATGTAAAACATTTAAAACTAGTAGTTTTAAAGGTAGATTCAATAATCTACCATTTTATCTTATCATGTCTATATTTTCTCCTTTATCTTTTCAGAGTAGATTCAATAATCTACCCTTTTATCCTATTATTTCTATATTTCCCCCCTTTTTTCTTTTAAAAACAAGACCCTGAATCTAATATCCTTTGTTTAACTTTTTTCATGACCATTATCTATAACAACTTGTAACCAACATACTAAACAAAGACAAACATCCATAATCCATTTTTGGGGGGTAATGTGGACATAGTTTCTAGGCTATTTCCTGTTGATTGCATATGCTGGTAATCTTATGGGGAGCCAAAGAAAATTTAGGATTATGGTCAAGTCCTGACTGGAGTCTCCTATAAGGCTTGCTCATCTTGGATAGCAGCCTTGAAGCTATTCTGGAAACAAAACTGCTAAAGTTGCTCTGAAACATTGGATCATCTGGGCCATATGTTCCCATTGGAGATTTTTCAGGGGCGGGGTGTCTTTTTATCAAATCTTATTTTTCTTAACCAATAATAAATCCACAGTCTCTCACTTTCTATGGAATCAAAAGCAAAACCTCTTCTTCAAAGTAACATATCTTTTGACTTAAATTTTGGAGTTAAGGAATTTTCAAGATATATAGGTTGGATTAATCCAGCAACTTTTATACTCAAATTTCTCTTAGCAGCTGTTGCTCCTTCCTCAGCAGTCCAACAATTCAAAGACAATACAATAGCATATAGTGTCTAGATCCTCTGTGTGTTTTTCATCTTTACATGGAAGTTAAGCCAGGGTGGATGGGAGCTGGGAGCACTGTAGTATGAGGACCAGCTTGTTGGGGTTTCTTTCCCGCCCGGTACCCCAACAGCTGGCAAATCCCAAAGAGAAATTACACACAGGACTCCATAAGGTTATAAACTGATTGGCTCATTAGGTCAGGCTACTTATTAGTTCTTATGACTTATCTTAACCCATTATTCTGATCTATGTTAGCCACACGAGCTCAGTACCTTTCTCAATGTGACAGCTTACATGTTGCCTCTTCGGTGGTTTGCACAGGAGTGCCGGAGGGAGTTTCCTCCTCCCTAGCCTTATCCTATTCTCATTGCCCTGCCTCTACTTCCTGTCTGGTTGACCCACCTATACTTCCTGCCTGGCCAATCAGCGTTTTATTAAAATACATGATTGACAGAATACAGACAATTCTCCCACATCAGAGCACTAATATTTATCCTGAATCCAGAGGGCTAGGTTTGTTTGAGTTTCAATTCCTAGAGCTAGAATTCCAATCCCAGCTCTGGCCTGGGATAGTAACTTAGACAAATGACCTTTTCATAAATTTGTGCCCCACATTGGGTACCAAATGAAGCATAATTAATAAAAACTCAGAGACAGATATTGGGGCTCAACCTGAAAAACGGAAAAACAAACAACCAGCTACTGACTTTTACATTGACCTTAGTCAGGAAATGGTGATCCTGCCTACAGAACACCTCAGAGTAAGACTGAGACTGA